CATCTGTGGGCTGTTTTGTTGCTGACGTGTTGCTTTTGCTCTTGTTATTGTTGCTGTTGTTGTGTGTGTGTGTGGTAGCCTATCCGTTCGAAATGTTCGGAGCCCCGAAGAGTGTGCTCTTCGCCAGGGCCACCGCCTCCCTTGGGTAGCGGGTGAGGCAGTCCAACCTCCCTGAATCCTCCCCGAAGAGATGACAACAGCAACAACAAACTTCCGGTTGGCAAATAATCATGACGTCAAGTTCTTATTTATTCTCTACAGTGAACCTCATTGTTTCTGCTGTTGTTGTTGTTATTGTTGTTGTTGTTGTTGTTGTTATAAATATTAGTATCTATAAAATCTCTAATATCATCATCTTCTTCTTTTGGATGTCAGGTTTCGCGCAGACATTGACCAAGATTTGGGGGGGGGGCATTTCGTATTTCATGGATAAGAATGATGCAGGGCGACTGTAAAGCAACGATGTACAGACACACAGTTGTGTCCTGTATGCGTCTCTGTTATACAGACACACAGTTGTGTCCTGTATGCATCTCTGATATACAGACACACAGTTGTTTCCTGTATGCGTTTCTGATGTACAGATACAAAACTGTGTCGTGTATGTGTCTCTGATGTACAGACACACAGTTGTGTCCTGTATGCGTCTCTGATGTACAGATACAAAGCTGTGTCGTGTATGTGTCTCTGATGTACAGTTGTGTCCTGTGTGTGTCTCTGATGTACAGATACAAAGCTGTGTCGTGTACGCGCGATGTACGGGGATCACATCATTCCCCCAGGAAGCGTGCTGACGTCTAGCGTGTAAGGGTTAGGTTCTTCACCCTTTTACATGGGACACTACGTTTGAATCATGGTTGGGAAAATTATTTTATCCAATATCTCCGTCTACCTGCAGTTACGTTGTATCCCACTCAGACCGTGATGGTCCTGAAAGGTGCGGTCGTTAAAAGGTGCCTCCTAAATTATCTAATTATGTAGATCGAGACGCAAAAAGTGTATTTTTTAACTTACATTTTAAAACAAAATGAGACCTCAGCTTCAACTAGACATGTACTACCATAGCATAATAATAATATGTACTGTTTTTATTTTCCTCATAACTCTCCATGTTTCAGGCCTCTCACCCGGACGAAGACCTACAGGATTTGCTCAGCCTAGTCAGTAAGTACTCTTCTGTATTTTACGTTTTTTGGCTCCTCCTTCGGGCCTTTCTGATTTCAATATTTGAAAACTCATCTTTCTCGCCAGTTCCAGTTATGTTTTTCCTTTTTTTTTCTCCCCACCCCGCTCCCCTCTCTCTTAACATTTAGTATATAGGTATGTTTCTATTCGACCATGGTGTGTATGCGTTTGTGTGTGCGTATGTGTGTGTGTGTGTGTGCGTTTGTGTATTTGTGTGTCTGCGTGTGTAAGGGAGAGAGAG